CAGTACATTTTCTTATTCCTTTGCCTAATTTAACAGATATACTGTTATAAAAGTATTTGTGATTCCTGCTTTGCCTACAAACCATATTGTAATGATCACCGAAGTTTCAAACCTTTCAAGATTATCCTTTTAAATGATTGTATCATATTCCTTAACTATTTCCATATTGCTGGACACTTAGAGTCTTTTTAATTTATTGCTATCATAGATAACATTGGCATGAAGTTCTTTTTTTTATAAATCTTTTTAACTGTTTGAAGTATTTCTTAGTAGATTTCTAGAAGTAGGACTTACATAGAAAAATGATTGAAAATAACTTAAAATATATACACAATGAATCTTTTTTTTTTTTTTTTTGAGTTGGAGTCTCACTCTGTTGCCCAGACTGGAGTGCAGTGTACTGCAGCCTCAACCCACTGGGCTCCGGCGATCCTTCCGCCTCAGCCTCAGCCTTCCTAGTAGCCGGAATTACAGGCACGCGCTACCATGCCTGGCTGATTTTTTTATTTATTGTAGAGATGAGATCTCGCCAAGTTGCCCAGGTGGGTCTCGAACCCGCGGGCTCAGACAATCTACTTACTTCAGCCTACCAAAGTGCAGGAACAATGAATCATTATAAGAGAAAAAAATCTTTTTGTAACCAAACAAATACCCAATGTTTTGTAACCAATAAATACCGAATATATACTATCTGACTATGTAGATATCGAATATATCTATTTACTATGTCTGTTATTTTTATTTTATTTTAAAAAATCGTTGTGTTGAGTGGTCTTCAATGATATATCTATCATTTACCTGACTGCATCAATTTATTATCTGCCTTGACATATTATTTTTTTAAAAATAAGCTTGCTGTATTACTTGAAGATTTAAACCTCAACACTTTCAAAATCCCTTAAATTACTTAAATGTTTGAGTATGTCATTCAACACCTCTAACTTTTTGTTCACATTCTATTAAGGATCTGTTTCCCTCAAAGTAATTCTCCTCCCATATATTTCTAATATTGCCATGTCAAATAAGCATGAGGTTTGTAGATAATTCTTTTTTTCAGTAACAATGCTCAATGCTGAGAAGATTTTATGCACTGAACACAAAGAGAATAGCTGACGCTTCAGAGGCATCGCCTGAAGCTGCCATGGTGAGGGATGAATTGCTGAATAACCACCGCTTGTCAGGGGAGGCTGCTCTCCACATTGGAGGACCTCACGTTTTCTCCCATTGCAAATCACTGCCAGGCTCTGCTCTTGCACTGAGATATTTCATTTGCATACGGAAAATGCCATCTCCTTTCCTCAGCAGATTCTGTACCAGGACGAATACATGGATCATACTTGGAATAGCAGCTTTTATTTTAACAAACTTAGCCTGTAAAAAAAAAGTGTATGCTAGGTTTTAATTTCCATTTATTAGTTTTTCTTCCCCCACCATTGTTATATCTTAAAAAGTTTCCAGCTTACAGAAAAATTACAAGCATAAAACAATGAATATCTGTATGTCCATCATTTCAACTCAACAATTGTTACCATTTTGCCACATTTGTTTTTCTCTATGCATATGTGCACATATATGCATTGCACATGTGTACACACACCTATATATTTGCACATGTAAACCCATATATAAGTAATATATATACATATGTTTTTAAAATGAACTATTTGTAAGTTGTGGGCATCATAAATCTTCACCAGGGCTAGGATTAGGATGAGTGAGGCAATGTTTTGAAAAGTCAATGTTAAGGCAAAGCAGCCCACAATGATGAAAATATCAAAATTTTAATAAAGACAAGCTATTTGTTTGTTTTATGACCCTGCATTATTGTGCAATGAGAACGGTGTTTTCAATCAGTTCATGGTTCTGGGACATGTGGCTTCTGGGTTTATGGGGAAGGACAATGGTATGCAAACAGGTTGGGCAATGCAGGTTTATATATACTCATATATTTTGACTGTGAATCTTGCATTAGCTCTTTCTACTTGGTACAAAATATGTATATATGCATACATTTCCCCCTTGGCCTCTCACTCTCATGTGGTTCCACACTAAGCAATCCAGTGTACATCTCCTAAGAACAGAGATTCTCCTATGAAATCATTGCACAGTGCTCGGGAAGTTTGACACTGATGCACTGCGACTATCTAAGAGATGTCTAGATTTAAGTTTCCACAAGTGTGGCTTCCATGTCTTTTCTGTCTTGTTCCACCATTCAGGATTAGATCAAGTATCATGCATTGAATGCAGTTATCAAGTCTTTTATTCTCCTTTTATTCTGGAAAACTTCCCCTTCCCACCTTCGACTTGTATGCCATTGGCATTTTTTTTTTTTTTGAGTTGGAGTCTCACTCTGTCGCCCAGACTGGAGTGCAGTGGCCGCTCCCGGCCACCGCAGCCTCGACCTGCTGGGCTCCGGCGATCCTTCCTCCTCAGCCTTCCGAGAAGCCAGAATTACAGGTGCGCGCTACCACGCCCAGCTAATTTTTTGATTTATTGTAGAGATGAGGTCTCGCCTGCCCAGGCGAGTCTCGAACCCGCGGGCTCAGGCAATCCACTCACCTCAGCCTCCCAAAGGCGCGGGATTACAGGCTGAGCCACCGAGCCCGACTGCCATTGGCATTTTTGAAGAGTGCAGTCACACTGTTATGTGACTATCCCTCAATTTTGATTTGTCTGATTGCTTCCTCAAGAATATCGCATTACACCAGATTTTAAACAACACGTTTTTGTTTGAAACTTATTGCACTGCTCTGCGGAGTAGGACAGAGTGACTTTTCTCTGAAGCAGCAGCATCAGATAGCCCAGCACACAGGAACAGTTATGTAAAAACAACTGAAGCAGGTAGGATTTTTGCTGGAATAGTGGGGAATTCCAAATTATCGGAGCAGATGTGTACCTGTTAGGTTTTAAAGGTTTTGTGCTAGACAAATTGCCAGCTGGAATAACAAGAAGTTTCAGTTCTCTGGCTAACTCTGACTGATTGGAAGTGACTTCTGAGGCTCCTCAAGGCCTTGGAAGGAAAGAATCTTGCACTCCATGCATGCAGGTGTGTCTTGGATATCTAAGTGAGGGGTAGGGCCGAGGCACTGGCTAGTATGAACACTGCACATGGTCAGAAATGATTGTGGCCTGACCATCTGCTGCAGGAAATTATTCTGTTTTCTTACCTAACCTGGGCTAGTTTCACTGAACATCCAGACACATGCAACAACACGCACAAAGACTGACTAGAAGTTAGAAAAATTGCTCTTCTCTTATGGGTTGTGGTTAGCGAACTCATTTCTCCATAATCACAGCTCAGACACTTGGGACTCAACTTTATCCTATACAAACCCTTAAAAATGCACAGACTTCTTTTGGAAAGAACTGGTGTTAGATAGTTAAAAAAAAATCAAATCCCATCCTCCTATTTACTAGTGTTTATCTACATCATAAATATACCAGGAAGATTAAAGGCCAATGACTTCCCTCCCAGGTAGTAGAGCAACAACCTGGAAATCTTTATTGTCATTTTGAAATTTGAATATGGAAAACCCTTAATGACTTGGTATTTAATTAAAAGTAAATAAAGAGGTTGTACTATAAAGATTTTATTCGGAAAGAATGGAAACAGTACCCAGCTTCCCCAATGTGTCCCCCTGTTTAACTGCTTCTCATCCAGTCTATGCTGGGAGTACATTTCTGACTCTGTTAAATACAAGTTTATCTCTCATTCTTCAAATCTTTCCTGATGGAGTAGTGAAGAGTTTGTATGCTTATGGCCTTCTCAGTTAATTCTGCAGAGATGGAGGGCAGTGTTTATCCCAGTTTTAAATGAGCACCCTTCTTTTGAAAACTGAAATTTGTATTGAGATAATTATAGATTCACATGAAGTTGTAAGAAAAAACAAAGAGAGATCTCTGTTATGCTCTGCCCAGTTTTCTCCAATGGTAACTTTTCACAAAACTATAGTACAATATCCTAACCAGGAAATTGACATTCATGCTGATCTTATTCAATTCCCCAGTTTTACTTGTACTTGTTTGTGTGTGTGTCTTTAGTTCTATACAATTTATCACACGTGCATGAGCATGCCTTTGACTCAGCATTTTCACTCTTAGGAATCCCTTTTCTAGAAATACTCATATTTGCATATGTGTACAAAGCCATATGTACAAAAATATGGACTGCAGTCTTTTTGTAGTACTAGGAGAAGTGGTGACATTCTGGTTGCATCATTAGGGGCATAATTAAATACTTTTGGCACAGTACGGAATGCTATGCAGTAGTAAATAAAGGAGCAGAGTTATGAAACCGAAGTGTAAAGATTTTCCAGAAAAAATGAGTGTAAAAAGCATAGAATAATACAGAGGTATTTATGTGAAAAATAGAAAGGATAAAGGCACACACATATGTATGCACAGAAAGGCCTTTAAAACATGAAGGACACTCCTCAAACTGTTAATAATGACCTCCAATGTTTCCACTGAGACGCCATAAATCCACAGCGAGGCCACATCTTTGGCATTAAGACAAATCTGCAATCATTTCACAGCCAGCCCATGCTTCAGACTAACTCAGCACCTTCCCCCGCGGAGATGAAAAATTCCCTTCCACCTGGAAGAGAGGAGCAGTGGGAGTCTAGGGGTGGCCATCAGCCTGAAGTAGCACCCAGGGGTGTGAGGAAACTGAGTTTATCTAAAAAAACACCAACACAGAACACCCAAATAGTTTGTATAGGGAAAGCAGTGAAACCTTAACAGAATTACATTTTTTTAATCATTAATAATTGAAAGACAGCAGGATCTCTTTCACATCCCATGCTACCCAGCAGTTCACTTTTCCTGTTGTATCCATTCATTAATGCATTTAGAAGTTAAAATAAAATGAGTGGGAGAAGGGAGAAGTAGGACATTTCGTGAAATCCTTGCAGCTGAAAAGAAGAAAATAGTTCTGTGCATTTTTGTAACATATAGACACATTTTCCCATAAGAAACTCCCAGCAAAATTGAAAGCACATGTGCAGATGGCCAGGGCGTGCTGTGCATGTTACTGTGCAAGCAATTCAGCAGGGCTGCTGCTAAACCAGCTTTCTCAGCTCTGGGTGCTGGGGCTTGTCTCAGTAACAAGCCTCCATGTAACAAACGGATCTCAGCAGAGTGAACAACATTGCAGTAAGCAAGCTGTTTTCTTCACCCTCACTCTGCTCCCCTTGCTCTCCAAAAGTTACAAACTGTGTTTCCTTCCTGATAAACTTCAAGGCTTCCTCACTGATTGGTCTCAGTTTGGGAAAGGACGTGACATCAGCAACTTTGCAGACTTGGGGCTGAGGGGCTGTTGTGGCCTTTGGCCAGCCTCCAGTCAGCTAGGTGGGGAGTGTGTCTGTGTGTGTGTGTGTGTGTGTGTGTGTGTGTGTGTGTGTGTGTGTGTGTGTGTGTGCATGCACGCGCCTCTGTCTAACCACAGGTACTACTCAGATTACCCTGTCTGCACTGTTCTCTGCTGTAGACCGTCTGACCAGGACGTGTGCAGCTCAGCCAGCCACAGGACTGGAATTTCCCAGGAGCAGGGGGAGCATGGAGTTTGGACTTTGCTGAGCAACTGAAGTGGAGCACAGAGCTTGCTGGCTCAGGAGAACACCATGGATGGCGAACGAGGGGGCAGGAACGGCAGCAAGCCCCTGGGGCCAGGAGACTCTCCTGACACCAGGCTCCTTTCAAACCCATTGATGGGCGGTGAGTCGTAGGGGAGGTGGAATCAGAGCCTGGGGAGGCTGGCTAATATGCTTAGAGAGAAGAGGGCTGGGCAATTTCAGTGGCTCTGTCTGAGGTGTGTCCATGGGCCAGTTATTGGACAGATGTCCACAGCTTGCTGGTATGTATCCTTTACACAGTTTTAAAAAATGTGTACACCTCTCTGCAGAATCCTATAGACAATACAAATGCAACTGTCACACATTATTCTCCAGTGAAAAGTTCAGCTCCAAGGAATCACTCTTTGTGGGTCAAATGAGTTATTTATTAAATCAGAGGTTTAAAAGTTACATATAAGTGGGAAAATACTTAATGCTAACATATTTCTTTTATTCAAAGGTCTTGGGTATTTGGCATTTAGGTGGGACTGGGTTCATAAATGATGTTCAACCACTATTGATTGATTCATTTTTAAAAGAAACTTAAGAAAAACTTCAGAGAAATATCTTACAAGTATGGTTCTCGCCTGCCAGGTAATGTCTTTGCTAATATATAGAGCCCCATGCCTATGAGCACTGTCACACTCTTGTGAGCATTCAGCAGGTGCCTGCTGACTGAAAGGATTCTGAAAAATGAGTCTAGGCATTAGCGGAGAGATCATTATATTCAGCACCCAGGTAGACTGCCCCAAACGCCTGATCAAAGGGGCAATAAACAGGGACCCTGAAGTCAGCTAGGACTACTGAACAGGTGCTGAAAGGGAAAAAGTAGAAGAAATAAAATATGAAACGCCTTTTCTCTGACTGAGCAGACAAACCTGTTATTCACTCATTTCTTTATTCATTTTGCTCATAAAACAAGCAGAATATACAATGGTGAGTATGATCTGGATCCAAAAAAGCAGAACTGGTTTAATCAGTAGATATATTGATCATGAACTTGAAGCACTAGCAGAGTAGCGTCAGACATCAGTTTTTTACAAATAACTTGATAAATTATGTTTAAAGCAGCAAACCAATTATTATGGGAAATAGTCATTTGGATGACTTCTGCAAGATTATTTTTACAGCTAAGTATTGCATTTATCTTTGTTTCCAGAGAGGAGAGAGGCACTAGCCACTTCTCACTGTTCAGGCTTTCAAAAGGTCCTAATTCAACCTTGGTGGGGGCAGGATGGGTGGGTTGGAGTGGGTGGGTATTACATTCAAAGGCATGGTTGGAAAGTGAACACATCGAGAATGCAGAGTGTCTTAGGGAGTCTGGTGAAAACAAGTTTGGAGAGATGGAGTGGGTGATGAAACTTTAAAAGCTAGGTAGAGGAATTTAACCTACCTGAGGCAGGAAATTGGGAGCCATTGGTGGTTTTGGAGCAGAGACCTGGCAATAATGAAGGCTGTAAGAATTTTTTTTTTTTGAGTTGGAGTTTCACTCTGTCGCCCAGACTGGAGTGCAGTGGCGGCTCCCGGCCACCGCAGCCTCGAACTCCTGGGCTCCTTCCGCCTCAGCCTTCCGAGTAGCCGGAATTAGAGGCACGCGCTACCACGCCCTGCTGATTTTTGATTTATTGTAGAGATGAGGTCTCGCCAAGTTGCCCAGGCGGGTCTCGAACCCGCGGGCTCAGACAATCCACTCACCTCAGCCTCCCAAGGTACGGGATTACAGGCTGAGCCACCGAGCCCGGCTAGGCTGTAAGAATTTAATCAACATATTTATCAGGATAGATTATGGTGCGATCACAGTGGATTGCACTGATTCACTGGTTGTTAAACTCCCAGGTGCCTCACCGTCACCTGGAGGGCTTGTTAAAATGCAGGCGATGCAGCTTCTGGTGAAAGGTAGATCTGGGGCGGGGTCTAAGAATCTGCATTCATAACAAGCTCCCAGATGACACGGATGGCGCTGACTGGGGCCCACACTTTGATTAACAAGCATGAAACTGACAGAGAAATTAAGCTGCGCTGCTTGATTAAATATTGGGGCCAATAAAGAAAAGGCAGGCAAAATTATAAAGTTTTCAAGCCCGAATTAATGTTAGTTAAGCCTGAGCCCTGGGTTCGAGATCTACCTGGGCAATTTGGCGAGACCTCATCTCTACAATAAATCAAGAAATTAGCCGGGTGTGGTAGCGCACGCCTGTAGTTCCAGCTATTTGGAAGGCTGAGGCGGAAGGATCGTCGGAGCGCAGCAGGTCGAGGCTGCGGTGACCGGGAGCGGCCACTGCACTCCAGTCTGGGCGACCGAGTGAGACTCCAACTCAAAAAAAAAAAAAATAAAATAAAAATAAATAAATAAATAAATAAATAAATAAATAAATAAAAAGGAGCTGGGCTCAGTGGTTCACCCTGTAATCCCGCGCCTTTGGGAGGCTGAGGTGAGTGGATTGCCTGAGCCCGCGGGTTCGAGACCCGCCTGGGCAACTTGGCGAGATCTCATCTGTACAATAAATCAAAAAATCAGCCGGGTGTGGCAGCGCATGCCTGTAATTCCGGCTACTTGGAAGGCTGAGGCGGAAGGATCACTGGAGCCCAGCAGGTGGAGGCTGCGGTGGCCGGGAGCGGCCACTGCACTCCAGTCTGGGTGACAGAGTGAGACTCCAACTCAAAAAAAAAAAAATGGAAAGCTAGATAAGAGGGCTGAGAAGGGGCGTTGGCTTGAGAGCAAATAAAGAAGAGAGGATACAGAATTCTATTTTGGACATAAAAATGCCAAAGATGATGCCTAGTGCACATCATGATGATATGGAACTGAGACTTGGAAACAATCATAGGTTGGGAATCAGAAACCTCTGAAGGTTCTGCAGAGGAGCAGTGGTTGAAACACAGGGAAGAGAGAAACTGATGGTCAAGAGCTGAAAGCCAAGGATGTAACTCTGGGACAGGATTCCAATTGAGGACGCAGGACAAGTGATTTGGACAGAGAAGCAGGAAGAGACTCCAAATGTATTTACACAAGGTCAAAGGGAAGAGAAATTTTCAAATAAGCGGAAGTCACAAAGGTAGACACCTGGACACTGTTGCTTTCTTACCTTTTCTTCTCTGAATCTGTCTGGCAAACTCCCACTCACTTTTCACACCTGGTTGAGCCACGCCTTCCTAGACTTTCTCCCTCTCCCTACCCAAGTGCAGTCATTCTTTCCCTTCTTTGCACCAGTCCTGCCCTCTGGACAAGATTTCATTTACAACTGGTTGCATTTATTTATGCTTCTGAAGTCTTGGCCTTCCTGAAGTGTGGAATGTGGAACACTCAGCATCTTGCTTCCAAATAGCTGTGCCAAGAAACTCAAGGCCAGGTCAGAGGGGAAATAGGTCCAGGTGTGGTTTGTTTTGGGGAACTTTGGCGCCCCCATCTCCATCTGAAGGCTTTTCTCCGTTTTTTTGAGTTGGATCCTTCCGTTGCAGCCTTCCAAGTAGCTGGAACTATAGGCGCGTGCTCCCACACCTGGCTAATTTTTTATTTATTGTAGAGACGAGGTCTTGAACCCGCGGGCTCAGACAATCCACTCGCCTTGGCCTCCCAAAGTGCTGGAATTACAGGCTGAGCCATTGAGCCGCTGAGCCCAGCCTGAAGGCTTTTCTCTGCCCCCTTCTTTGGAGGGAGGGAGGAAGAGATATGAAGATGAGCAACCAGCTCTTTATAGGTTTGCTTAATGCTCAACTCTCCAGTCCCAGGATTGGGAAAGAATGACTTTCCCCCCTGAAAGTACCTTGTTATATGTGTCCCCCAAAAGGTATATTCAAATCCTAACCCCCTGGACTTCAAAATGTGACCTTATTTGGAAATAAGGTCATTGTGGATGTGATTAGTTAAGATGAGATCATAAATGGAGTAGGATAAACTTCAATCCAACAAGACTGATGTCCTTGTAAGAAAAAGAGGGGACACACAGGGGGAATGTGTGTGACACAGAGGCTGAGATTGAAATATCTACAAGACAAGGAACACCAAAGATCCATGGCCACTGCCGGGAAGCTAGAAGAGGCAAGGAAGGGTATTTTTCCCTAGAGCCTTTGGGGAGAGCATGACCCTGCTCACACCTTGATTTCAGACTTCTATCAGGCTGTCAGCCTCTAGAACTGTGAGACAATACATTTCTGTTATTTTAAGCACCCCAATTTGTAGTACATTGTTTGGCATCCCTAGAAAACTAAATAATACCTGCTCATAGAACCTTAAGAAAATACATGGAAGAATAAACTAACCACCCATAATCCCACCAAGCAGGTAACCACTTTTTCCATTTTAGTGTCTATCCTTTGAGATTTTGTCTGAAGACTCACACTTGTAAAGATATTTCTTTCCTCATAAAGTTGATCCTACCTTATAAGGAGTAGAAGACAGGCAAGAACAGGCATTGAAAGGAAACAATTTCATTCTTTTATGGTAGATTTTTAAATAGTGGGGCACCTTGGCAGGGGCAAGTTTTCTGGGGAAAACCTGCTTGTTCAGACATAATGGGTGATAATGTGAGGTCCCTTTGGAGAAAGCAGTCTCATGTGCAGAGAGGGAGAGACGGGGAGAGGGAGAAAGGAAGGAGGTGGAGGAGGAGCAAAAAGAAGAGAGGAGAGAGGAGAGAGAAGTTGAATGATGGAACTGGAGAAGGAATTGCAGTGGACAAGACCAACTTGTCCAAGAGTTACCTCAATAAACCTTTCTGTTTGCCTGTTTCTGACTGTGAGCCTCTGTTTCTCTCTCTTCTTTTTGTTTGTACTGGAATGAAACCAAGCCACTACAGTTGTAAACACAGCACCCAGATTCTCCCAATGTTGGTTCATGCCACTGAATCCACCCTTATCATGTCCTAGGGATTGAAGGCAAATGTTTCCGTCTCCTCAGAGCAACCCAACTTCTTTTTTCTCCCCATGACTTTGCAAAATGCTTCCCAAGATGGATAGCTTTTACTACCCAGCATTCACTAGGGCTCTCAGAACTTCGTTAATGGTTGTTTACAGAGTGTATCAATTAGTGCATTTTAAATCTTTCTGAAATAATGAGAGTTTAAAAAAGTTCCAAAAATTGCAATAAAAATGAAATGGCAGTCTAATGTGCTGCAAGTTTGATAGAAGCACAATTTAACAGAAAGGTAAGTTTAGTGGCACCAATTGGAGGACTTGTGGAGTGGTTTCATTGCAAGAGCTCTCTGCCCTATTTTAACCATTAGCTACATTACTGAATCCACGTGTTGCCAGTGACCTCATTTGGCATCTATTTTTTTTGGCAGCAAAAGCAAAAGATCATGGCTGAACAAGTGTTGGGAAAGAAGTCCTTGGATAATGTGTTATACACAGATAATGACCCTCGGGTTTCAAAGACTTAGGCGGAGTCAGTAGAATAGGGTATTTTGACTGTGAGTCTCTCTTCATCCATCAGTCTTTTATGGTGAGTATTGTCCATGTTCTGGCAAGAAAACAGGTCCCCTTTCCTGAATATTTCCTGCTCTCTTCAGCTGTCAGTTAGCAGGAAGGCCGTGAAACTGCTTTGGGCTTTAACTGGGCAAGGGCGAAGCCTATAGTTTATTGCTTACTTGGGGTGTGGGTTCTGGAAAACTATGAAGCATGTCCCAGGTCCTCCCAGGCAGACCCTCATCACTCTTGGGTTTCACAAGGTTCAGGTCTCAGCTATCTCTTGTATACATGCTTCAAAGTGTAACTGCTGTATGATATGGTAATATAACGGTGAGCCTTTTGAGCTGTGTGTGTGCTATCAGGGAAAAAGAGATAAAGTATGGACTAATCCATGTTGTTGCAAATTATGGTGCTTGTTAAACTAAATATGTGTGCATGCCCTTGTGTGTGTTTATGCACAGTATGCTCTTTGAATGTTAGAAAACCATTAACCTATCCATTGTTGCTGTTGTAAGTTTTTGTATAATCACCCAGTTGTTCTGAGACCTGCCAAGGCTAAAGTCCTTGTATAAACTTGAGATGGATTTTGGCTTTACAAGGACCCACGTTTTTCTCTTGGGCAGGAGCACAGGCATAATGTGACAGGCTTAACAAACCCTGGACTGAAATGACCTTTAAGTTAGAAGGGGAAGCTTCATACATTGCTGATGGGAATATAAAGTGGTGCAACAACTTTGGAAAATAGTCTCAAAAGGCTCACCGTTGTATTACCATATCATACAGCAGTTACACTTTGAGGTGTGTATACAAGAGAACTGAAAACATACATCAACAAAAACTTGTACACAAATGTTTGTAGCAGCATTATTAGCAACATCTAAGAAGTGGAAACAACACAAATTTCCATCAAATGACGAATGAATAAATAAAATGTGGTCTGTTCATACAATGAATATGATTGGATTGATGCATAAGTTCGTAGTGTTTTTCACTTGCTCATGTTGTACGACGGTTGACTGTTCACAGTTCACATTTGCCAATTCTCAGGTTGACTGACATGGATCATTGTGGATTAAAGCATTTAAGTGGTCTTCATCAAAGCCCGGCCCTCTTGGAAACGACAAAACAATTTTCTTGCTGCGCTTTCCCTGATAGCACATACACAGCTCACGTTTTGTCGGAAGTGTTCGTGTTTGTTCCACTTGACACTACATCTTCTTTAGCCCATGAATAGCACTAACGTTCTTCAAATCTGCAAACTGCAAGGCATAGTCACAAGCACAGTAGTGTCACCCTGAATGACAAATGATAAACTCCCGACACCACAGTGTTGCCGTGCCAAAAACAAATGCTATGAACTTATGCATCAACTTAATATTTGGCTAAAAAAGAGATAAAGTACTAATACATGCTACAGCATGGATGAACTTTGAAACATTATGCTAAGTTAAAAAAGTCGGCCATGAAGCACTACTTACTGTATGACTCCATTTATATGAAATGCCCAGAATAGGCAGATCCATAGAGCTAGAAAGTTGACCAACGGCTGCCAGGGGCTGGGGAAGTGGAAATTTGGAGTGAATGCTATTTGGCATGGGGTTTCTTTTGGGGGTGATGAAAATGTTCTAAAATTGATTGTGGCATTGGTTGGACAACTTGTGAATATATTGAAATCCATTGCATTGTACACTTTAAATGGGCAGATTGTATGGTATGTGAATTACATTTCAAAATAGCTGTTCAGTTCACTAGCCAGCTAGATACAGATATTCACGTTGTTGGCACCTCACTATATGTACTGGGAAAACACTACTTCTCAAAGCCACAGACTGTCTCTGCTCTGTAAATACTACATTCTTCAGGGGTGCAAAACCTCAGGTTGCCTTTGTTATTCTCTTGGAGAAGTACATAATTCTTTATTTGCCCTAGACAGAAGGAGTAATAGTTCCACAATGAATGTGCACACAGAAAACCTTCCCATTTTGGTCTACATGTGATCACATAATTGCATCATTTTACAAAATCTGAACAGAATTACAATTTAGGAACCAATTTACCTGCCCAGGTTGTTTAGGCCACCGATTCTAACACTCTTATGTAACTTTAAGAAAGGTTCAGGAATATGGTTGCTATAGTTCTTAGCAACTGAATGCTTGGGTGGAAAAATGAATGGATCATCGCATATATGGTGATCTATTAGGGTACATTTGCAAATCTGTTTAAAACTGATTTTCAAAACCTTTCTCAATTTTTGGCTCTTTGTTTTCAATCAAGATTTTGAGTGAATGGCATCTTGCATTATCAGCACTAAGAGGGTGGAATTAGTAGTCCCTTTAATTCTAATTTGGAGGTCAGTCTTCCCATATCTGTAGTCTGGATTTTCAACTCCAAGTCCTAGAAGCAGCAGTATTATTCCTGAGAGAATTAGGAACCTCAGAGAATGTTGTGAAGACATTGAGTATCTACTGAGCATAAAATTTTGGAGGTAGGAAAAGCCATTTCCCTTAAGGTGCTTTGCCTTAAGGTTCCTTACTAAATGCTTAATGAATCCATCTGGAAGGATAGCGATTTGCTCACTGGGACAGATTTTCCAGGGCATTGATGGCTTCAGGTGGCAGACAGGCCTCAGCCAACATGTGTCAAGTACAGAATGTTCTTGCCTCCTTCTTAATGGCCTTTCAGCTTGCAAGGTACAGATATTAACTACCGTGGTTCTCCAGATCTTCTCAGCTTTTAGGGGCTGTTAGCTCCCATGCAAGGCATAACTGGTATCAGAACTTTCTCCCTAGTTTATATGTAGTGTGTTGACTGAAGCAGGTGGAGCCCGGGTTGAAGCAAGCTCAGGAAGCCTTCTTACATTCCAACTTCCTGCGTCTGTTCTGGGAAACAGATGCAGCTTAAAATGAGAAAAGAATCAGGTTCATGCCTCATTCAGCTATATCCACACTCAATTATAAGAGAGAGGGAAGCATTTGATGGGTTGGGATCAGGTTTATAGGCTTCTTTCCTGAGAATTTGTATTCTGTCTATATGGTTGTAGAATAAATTTGCTACTTTAAATAGCAATGATTATGGGGTGTAATCAAAACATTCTGTTTAGTGTCAGGGCAGGATAATAATAGTAGCTAATATGTATTGCACCACAGTAAGTGCAGGCTGAATAGCCTTATCTAAAATACTTGGGACCAGAAGTGTTTCAGAATTTGGAATATTTGCACACACTATATAATGACTTATCTTGGGGATGGGGTCCAAGTCTAAAAACAATATTCATTTATATTTTATATGCCACTTATACATGTAGCCTGAAGGTGGTTTTATACAATATTTTTTAATAATTTTGTGTATGAAACAAAATTTTGACTGTGATCTGTCACATGAGAACAGGTGTGGAATTTGCCTCTTGTGGCATCACGTCATGTTGGTGCTCAATATGTTTCAGATTTTGGAATATTTCGAACTTGGGATTTTTGGATTAGGGATGCTCAAACTGTAATTGCTGTCCTCACTTACAGAGAAGGAAACTGAAACTCGAGGCTTTTCCAGGTACCCACAGCCAAGAAGAGGTCGAGTCTGAATTCAGAACTTTCTCTTAACCACATTGGCCTGCTGCCTTTGGGGGGTAAATAATGTCCCTTGTCTCAAGGTCAGATTGAACTCTTATTTGTGCTTAATATTGGGACAGAAGGTAATCTATAAATAGATATGGTTCTGTTTAGATTTGACTCCAAACCTAATGGTGTATGTAATTACATGATTACTACTATTAGTATATGGCACTGTTTGCTGAGATGCCAAAGTTTGTATTTCACACAGGAAACTAGACTGGCAACCACAGCTGAACACACTAATGTTGGTAATTAGCGAAGCTCTCGTGTAACTAAACGGGCCATTTGCCTTTGAAACCAATGTGTAAATAGAATTACAGTAATCTATCTGTCATCCCAATCCACCTCTTTTGTCCTCAGTTTGAGCACTGGCTAGTTCTTTCTTGCGATATCCAACATTTCAAATAAAATGTACATAAAAAACATCAGCAGAGGGGAGAAATGCGTAAGTCTTGATGGAAATTTTGGATGAGTGACTCCAAAGTCTCCATCCAGGGCCTGTTAGGCTTTTATTGATGGGGAAGGATGGATAAGCCTTTGTGTCTAAGTGCATTAGCAGAATGTAAACCATTCCTCCCTCTCCACATAGATGTTGTGTCTGATTGGTCTCCTCTTCATGAAGCTGCGGTCCATGGACGTCTTCTTGCTCTGAGGAACCTCATCAGCCAGGTAAATTTTTGAAAATAATAGTAGATATGAAGCATGCCTTATTGCTACATCACACTGAGAAAAAAATCATAGACTAATATTAAGATCTAAATCTCCTTTTGAGTTGACTCTCATCCTATCTAACCACTCCCCCCCTCCCGGGAAGCTGACATACTACCAGAGTTTAGTAAAATTCTGGGTCATATAGTAGGTACTGTACTAAATATCTATTGAATGAAGTCGCTTTCACTTCATTCAATAGACCGTGTTCTTGAAAATTATCATGTAAAACAGTGGTTCTCAACTGGGGCAATTTTGCCCCTCAGGGGACACTTGACAATGCCTGGAACCATTTTTAGTTGTTATACTGTGGGGTTGGAGGTGATGCTGGCATCTAGTGGGCAGAGATGAAGGATGCTGCTAAACATTTTATAATGCACAGGGTGGTTCTCCACATCAAAATTTATCCATCCCAAAATGTCAGTAATGCTGAGTTTGAAAACCCCTGATGTAAAAATAAATGCTTGAAAGTGTCTTCTTTAACATGCAGTCTCATAATTCCAAAGACATTTCCAGCTCTGTGAGATCTCCAATTGGCAGTGGCTCTGAAAAGTTTGATATTAATTTCTCTGCTCCTCAAGTGTAATTTCAAGTACACATTGATTTGAATTTTGTTGGTTTGAAATTATTGGGATACTAAGCAAAAACGCTTTTGAGAAAGCAGTTTAAATCACCATTCAAAATATTTTTTTTTTGAGTCGAAGTCTCACTCTGTCGCCCAGACTGGAGTGCAATGGCATGCTCATGGCCACCGCAGCCTCCACCTGCTGGGCTCAGGAGATCCTTCCGCCTTAGCCTTCCAAGTAGCTGGAACTATAGGCACGCGCTACCACGCCTGGCTAATTTTTTGACTTATGGTAGAGGTGAGGTCTCACCAAGTTGCCCAGGTTGGTCTCGAACGCGTGGGCTCAGGCAATCCTCTCACCTCGGCCTCCCAAAGTGCTGGGATTATAGGTGTGAGCCACCATGCCCAGTCTCAAAATCTTAATAAAGTTTTTGTTCAGAAGGTTCTGTTCTCTGAAAAGACAATAGATCTTTTAAGTTGGAAGATCTTAACTCTTTCTGTGCCACAGATCCCTTTGGCATCCTGGCAAAGTCTGTGGACCCCTTCTCAGAGTAATGTTTTAAGTGCATAAAATAGAATACAGAAGAAATCTATCCAATATTAAAACAAATGCGTGACATAATAATATATGAACTTTTGAATTAATTCATCAAGAAACTTGATGGTAATTCTAATAGCTACAATACTTTTTAAGTAGAATGAGCATATATTTTGAGATATTTTAGCTAGTTGCGACAATTGTAATACTGTAAAAATATCTGTGATTTCTATCAATGATGAGCCTACATATTACTATCATTACTGTGATTTGTTGTCTACATTCATAACTGAAGGACATACTAAATTTCGGACAGAGGTTAGTGAAAGTAAATGTGCTTTCAAAAAAATTCCAATTTCATGCATCTGCTATAGGCAAAACGTTTCTAAAGAAAGTTTTCATACTACCCTAAGCCACTATCTTAAGCTGTTTTTGGTAGCAGCAGTCTATTATAAATAGATTATAGCACATAATTTTAGCTAAAAGAAGTTAGGCTGCTTTTCAGATGAAATGAAGAATTTACCCTATTTTGATAGGATGAAAAATGATCATTGCAGTTTTTAGATATCACTTGTTAAATTGGACAGATATTCATTTATATTTAGTGTTTATGTGTTTACTGAACATCAGCCAGAACCACATCTTTGTCTAAGCTCTATCAAATTATTTGCATAAGTTGTCGTCTTGGAACCTCAATTTCTGCCTTCAGAAAATGAGCATTCTAATGCTTACCTGTATCAGCCCACCCCCAAACTCAGTAACAAATCATCCAGAAACTCAGTGGCATGATACAATAACCATTATTTCTTGCTAATGAATGTTTGGGTCAGCTGATCCAGGTGGTTTGTCTGGGCTTGGCTCCTAACTGTGGGGCGGATGTGGCTCCACTGCATGTCTCTCTCATTCTTCCCAGACCACTGGCTACCCGAGGAATTTTCTTCCCATGGCAAAAGGCTGGAGCCCAGCAAAGAGTATTTCCAACTTTTGCCTGTGTCACATCTGCTAACATCTCACTGGTCAAAGCCAGTCACATGACCACATCCAGCGGCAAGGATCTAGGAAGTATATTTTTTAACTAAGATTAGGTGAAAATTGATAATAAAAAATTAAAGATAAGCCATTAAATATATATATAGCTAAAAACCCACTGTAACTGGATGGTGTATGAGTAACGAGTTAAAAATTGCCTTATGCAAGCTGGAATTGGCCCATGGGCCATAATTCACTGACCCTGATACAACCACATCACTCAGTGGTTACAAGTACTGAAAGGCCGACCCCTTTCAGTACTTGTGATACAGTGAACTATAACCAACCCTTCCCTCCTACCCAGCATGCTTTCTAACCAGTTCTTAATTGTCTGGAGTACAAAATTATTCTCCCTTATTTATTGCATTTTACGCTCAAAAATATTTATTGAGTGAATAGATTATTATTTTCATTTATCAAGTAAACAGATATTAAGAACTGTAAGGTAATATGCACAGGATTATAGAACTATGAAGTGTCAGAATTGTGATTTTTCTTTTTTATTTATTTTTTCTCCTTTATGCTTTGACTTTTTGCATGTATTATGGTGAAAATGGTGCATATGGTAAAAACACATTTTCTTCCCAACAGCAGCCAATTATTCCAGTAAAATAGCACCAGATGTCCAATATATTAAATGCTATTTTTTTTCCTGGGAAATCTTTGATGGCTTTTTAAAAAATCATGTGAGTTGTTTTATTCTAGGATATGTTTCTGGGCTAATTCATTTCTATTAGTCTCTGTTGAATTCTGTGTGTCCACTTTGATTTTATTCCCATATTCTTATAATAAAGTTTAATAGAGAGCAAAAAAATTGCCTTATTATATGATTCAGATTGTCAATAATTTAGACAAACCACCGTAGTTCATTTAAGATGGAACTGTAGCTTGATGATGAACTACAATTTTCTAAGTTTTCAGAAGGAACAATTTTGTAATGTAAATATGTAGTGAAAACTTTTTGTTTTGCATCGTGAATAATTGTTTTGTTGCATTTCATTTGCCTGGATTTATGTATAAACATCTAAATGCTGGTTTAAATATGGTAGTCATGATGGGAGGAGCATGTTTACAATAACAGAACACCTAATAATTAATTCCTTTAAGGAGTAGTTTTCACCGGCCGGACTCGGTAGCTCAGTTTGTAATCCCAGCGCTTTGGGAGGCCAAGGTGAGTGGATTGCCTGAGCCCATGGGTTCGAGACCTGCCTGGGCAACTTGGCGAGACCTCATCTCTATAATAAATCAAAAATTAGCCGGGCGTGTTAGCGCGTGCCTGTAGTTCCAGCTACTTGGAAGGATGAGGCAGAAGGATCGCTGGAGCCCAGCAGGTCGAGGCTGCAGTGGCCGGGAGCGG